AGCTGCCAGGTGTTTTTATATAGTCACGGGTATTATGTTGGTAAGCTGAAAATACCCCTTCGTGTAAGGCATAACATTAAGTAGAACATGAAAATCTAAACACGGGAGAAAAAAGTCGACGAACTGTGAATTCTAACGCTCTTACGGGGTTGTATCCTTGAGTCTTATTTGGGTTCGTAATGAGGCGGAATAAAGAAAAACATTATAGCGGAAAAATACAAAAAATATATTTAAAAATTACATGCACTTGCAAATGGCGACAGATAAAACATCACTGGCTACTGGTTAAACAGCGACATATGTGAACGAAATTTTCACTTCACGCGGTAGCTTTATAGTGTCCATATATTCTGACCTTTCCAGTCAGAATATATCGGGCGGGAAACTTCTGTGTAAAAGCCTCTTCTCAGTTTCTTACAAAATACAGGAGAAATTACTAAAACTATTTATGTCTTTGCGTGTGTCTGTGTGTGTTTTTTTACCTTTTGGAGGACATGATAACCGAGACTGCGTCCTCAGCAATGTGGGAACTTGGGTTTTCTCGTCATTTAGCAATGATAAGTGGTTGCTGGCTATCAAGCGTATTTATATGCCAGCCATTTTATGCTCTGACGGCTGCGCGTTGCACCAAGTGTTACGCTTTTGTCTTGGTAGAGTGCATGCACCTCTGTCGGCAAGTTGACATGTATGCGTCTAAGAGAAGCGTCGCCGAAATTGTTTGTACACCAATAAATATGCTCAAATAAAAAGAAGAGAAGACAACTTACAAGTTACTGCCCACTGTGTCATAAAGCGAACGAAAGCTCATTGCTGACCGATGATATGACGAAGAAACAGCACGCGCGCTGACCAACCTTGTGATGTCTCAACGTCGCAAAATGACAACACTTGCAATTGTGTATGTGCAAGGTGGTAGCGCTAAATCGTTCCTGGCTTGAAAGCGTCACATCTTGTCGAATCTGAAAAAAAGTTGAATAATCTTTCAGTGGAGTACGGCACGTTATCATGCTACAATGTAAAATGTATGCTACAATGTAAAAACGAATTTGCGACTACAAAGTAAATAACAATTGAATTTTATGGCTACCACTATTTCGCCAAACACGGTATTCTTAGAGCAAACCAAATATACAATCTAAATTGTAAACGACATACAAAGAAATAGTTAATGAAACAAATGTAGGGATTAAACACAAACGATAATTTACATTCCGACAAAAATAAAAAGGTCGCGTATGCAAACGAACTATGAGAATATATATATATATATATATATATATATATATATATATATATATATATATATATATATATATATATATATAACTCAGAAGAAAAAACTTTTAGTGAAAACAGCAACAACGGACGATTTATTCTTCGACGTTTCGGCCGGAGTCCGGCCTTCCTGACGAAGGCCGGACTCCGGCCGAAACATCGAAGAATAAATCGTCCGTTGTTGCTGTTTTCACTAAAGGTTTTTTCTTCTCAGTTTTATACCCACGCCTTCGGCCTCCCGCCACCGTGCCCCGTTATATCTATATATATATATATATATACTGTACTTACTCGAGTAATAGCCGCACTATTTATGAACAAGGCCCTTGAGTCTACTTTCCCACATAACACATCTACAACCAATCATTGCGTTGCGCATATATACCATAGCGAATAACCAGATCGAGAATACGATTCTCCCTACAAATGCAATCTTCAAAGACGGTATCCTGGCACGAAGACGTTATCTCTGTCCTGTAAACCGCTAGTATCAGGCTGTCGAACGCGCTAATTGGCAAGATGTGATGTGGTGAACAGAACAGCGCACACAAAGACAAGGACAGATAAAAGGAACATGCACGACACACAAGCGCTGACTCGCAACTGAATTTATACACAAAAAGAAGAAGAGGAGGACGTTCTGAAAGACACGCAGGGCACGCAATGCGTGTCACACGCGACAAAACACCATTTAACTACAATGCCTTTGCCCCATAGTCCGATCTAAAAACAAGGTTTCGGTTTGTAGTAGTGTCACTGATGGGTGGCTGATGCTGCACTACTCCAGGCTGTTGATGCAATGTGCATCCAAGATTTCGCGAGTCGTCTTGTCTCGATAGTGTCCAATTATTGTTGTGCCTTTAAGAATTGGAGCACACGAGCAGGAATTGCAATGAACGGGAAGGTGACCGCCCACCATAGATTTTAGTGAACGATCATGCTCGAGAAAGCATGATCGTTCACTAATTTTTTTTGTCCTTATTTAAAAACTGTCCTTATTTTTCTGTCCTTATTTAAAAACAAGGGCAGGAACTACATGTTCCTTTTCTCTGTCCTTGTCTTTGTGTGCGCTGTTCTGTTCATCATGTCATCATACCAACTCGCCCAACTTGCAACACTTCTGTGATTGGCAATCTGCGTGCTCCGCGGAAAAGCGAACCCTCAGGCTTTCTTCATAAGCAGTGCGGCTATCACTCGAGGAAATACGCTCCGAGCTGATGAGACGAATCAGTCAGCGTCAAAAGCAGACCATCATGGTGTTCGTCATGTTTATATACAGTGGCCCAATTTTTTAATATTATCAAGCGAGCGTCGACTGCCGGCACGGCCAGCGCTGTGCCACGGAAAAATGCAGCGTCACCGCGTCACGGGAGAGATTAAGCGCGTTTGCACAAAGCCCTTTCTGGTGGGAGCGTCATCTGCTAGGCTATTCCGTTGACCGCACACAGCCCCTGTTCCGTAGCAAAGGAAGGCAGGACGCTTGCAATGTCGAAGCGGATCGCCGATACGCCCCTCTTCTTGAAATGCGTTCAAGATCCTATTGACGTTAGCCTGTGTAACTCCGACTGTTGTTTCTATATCCCTTCGCGTCATGCCGCCCATCGACATTTTCACAACACGTTCCCGTGTTTTTATGGGCCCTCGAGGAGGCATAAAAATGTGCGCACGCCCGCTGGGGCTCTAAACTCGTCAAACACAAAGTTGGGCCCGAAGTTCACGGAGCGCACCGATTGGTCTATCACGGCGATGACTTCGCGCTTTTTTCGCCAACGTCCAATCAGCGCGCTCTGCGAACTTTCGGCTCCAACTTTGTGTTTGACGAGTTTAGGGCCCCTGGTCAAAGAAAACTGGGACTACCCGGCTACATAGGCTAGATGACGACAGCAACAACGCAATTGATAATACAAAACACCAAGCCCGAGCGGAAACCCTGTCCATACCCCGTTTCACTTTTTGTTGCACCGCAGCCGACGCTACGAGTTATCTTGGCCAGTCCATCGCTAAAAGTGTGTCACGCGGCCTTCCCCTTGGGTACAACTGCACGGGGAAGCACGATGTCACGTGGCAGGGTGAAACCACTGGATTCGTTTTGATGGCTCGCGGCATTGTCTGCGGTATACTGAATGCGTCATTGCATTCAGTTTGTCGCGTCACCGTATTTTTCCTTTTACAAAAGTAAACGCAAACATGAAATGAAAAAAAAGAAGTAAATTAAACTCGAGATGATGCGCGGTTTATGCCACGCCTGAGCAGTATCACGCAAGCAAGCGCTGCTCAGATCTTTGCTTGAAGGCTTTTAGCTATGCCAGCAGATAATGAACAGGGGCTGTGTGCGGCCCACAAAATAGCCTAGCAGACGACGCTCGCAACAGAAAGAGCTTTGTGCGCACGCGCTTAAAGGGGTCATGAAACGCTTTTCCAACTTTTTCTTGTTTAGCTTTCCTCCTCAACTCATAAATCGCGCATTCCGCCAAACAGTTCAAGAAGACGAAAAGAGGGGAGGCCCCTCTTGCTCGGAATCTGGTTTGTGTACCCGGACAGAGCCATTGTCCCCCTAGAAGATTAGCCCGTCGCTCAAAATTCAGATAAAAGTTGCTTTCCCCAACCCGTTCACCCCGAAGCTGACAGTGCTGTGGAAGCTACGTGCTCGTTGGGCCAGCCAGACCTGCCACGTGATCACGCTCTCTCGCGCATACCCACGCGCAGAAAATGAGGTCAGGTGATGAAAGGGAGGCGGCTGATTGGTCCGGCAAGCGCGTAGCTTCCACCACAATGTCAGCTTAGGGGTGAAGGAAATAGGTGAGGTCCGGTTTCGTGTGTCGCGCGTTTGGACCCGATGACGCGCTTTTGGGACCGCGGATGTATCACAGTGAAAAGGCAGACAGCTTACGAAGGGTAGGAGGTACGAAATAGTCCGCTGTGTTTTCAAATGTTTGCACTGAAAGTCAGTCAGGCTTTTGACTTTCTACCTTTTTTATTATGGCCCACTGAACGATGTGCTATTAGTAAAATCCCAATCTAAAATGATTTATCCCAACCCAAAATTCGTTTCATGGGCCCTTTAATTTCTCCCGTGACGCCGCATCTTTCAGCGGCACAGCGCTGGCCGTCCCGGTGGTCGACGCTCGCTTGATTATATTTTTAAAAAATTGGGCCACTGTACGTGTTCTATAATCACTGAACCAACCATAGACAAACAAATGCCTAGTGACTGGCGCCTTTGACGCTGCTTGATTTGTCCCACTGCCTTGTAGCGTCGGCTGCGTTAGGGACTAAGCTGAATCGAAGCACATATTACTTAGTTTGAAAGCAAATTTTTCATTTTAGATCACACGAAAGAAAAAAAAAAATACCTGTCACACTTATAAAAAAAAGGCTTTGAGTTAAATTTTTTGTAGAACCCCAAGACAGTTGAT